GCTTCTTTCCTGATCATAAGGTGTTCCGCAAGGTTCTCATTTAGGTCCTCTGCTCTTTAACATATACATTAATGACGTCCTAACAGTATTTAAAACAGTAATGTTCTGCTCTAGGTTAATAATAAAAAGATATTTAGGATAATAAAAAAGATGATTGTGTCTTGCTACAAGACGATCTTAATAGGCTTTATGATAACTGCAAAGCAAATTATATAACAATTAATATTAAGTGTAGTATTAAGTGTCACGTCATTACTTATTCAAGAAAAAGGAATGAAATTGATCATAATTACTAATTTAATGATGAGCTAATAAATCGAGTAGCTTCGATTAAAGATTGCGGTGTTTTATTAGATACCAAGCTGTTATTTAGGGATCACATCGCTAATATTCTCAGTAAAGCGTATAAAATATTAGGATTTATAATTCGGGTCACGAAAGATTTCAAAAATATTACTACTATTATTATGCTTTACAACTCGTTTTTTAGGTCGGTGTTGGAGTACTGATCTACTGTCTGGAACCCAAATTATAACAAATATATAGATTCTATCGAAATGATTCAAAATAAATTCGTAAAATACTTAAAATATAAATTTCCTACCTTATCCAATAAGCCCACTATTTCTTTTTATCGTCGTCGTGCTGTAAGAGATCAATTATTTCTTCACAATGACGTTGAATCTTTATGTCTCGTCTCTAAATTAAATTATATGTGTAACAGACCCCATGTTCGCAATAAGAAACTTTTTCATGTACCCATGACTAAAACTAAATATGCTTCTAATACTTTTATTAACCATAATTTTAATCATATAGATTTATTTCAATTAAGTTTAGGTAGTTTTAGATCAAATGTTTAATCAAAGCTTTTGTAATAATTGGCTTCATTGTAATGTTATTCATTTAAGTAAAACATGTTCTACCGCGATGTCTATTATATGAATTTACCTTTGGTGGAAACTTTACGGGTTTAGAGATTTATACTGCATTTTATTATTTGTTAGTTTATTATATAGCTGTTTGTTTTCCTTGAAAAAATAAATCAATATCAGGTGAAGCGCCAGCACGTTTGCCACTTTCTCAAATAAAAAAAATCTCAATAACTACAAAAATACTTTTGTTTGTGTATTGTATTCCTTTTATAAAAATAGTTTATGGAATGCGTTGTGACGATGACGCGAGTTCCATGGTGTTTGATCACCCAAAATGAGCTCAACGCGCCTAAAAAAGAAGAAAGAAAGAAAGAAAGAGATTTATTTGACATAAAACAGACTGACGTACACAACAATCACTTAAAACAATAAAAATTAGACAAAAAAGACATGAACATAAAACTCCAATATGCATATTTTCCCTTTTCAATAAAGTACGTCGCGATTCATGCCAAAAAGGACATCACTCAGCAGAATGTTGCAGTGAAACTGCAACGCTGATTTTCAGTAATGACCAAAAATTGGGGAATACAGCCCCGAGCCCAAAAAAAAAAAAAAAAAAAAAAAACATTTATCAAAAACAAAAGTAAGAAAACAAAAAATAAAAAAAAAAAAAACCCAAAAAAACAACAAAATTGGGAACGTTAATTAGGATCGAAAATGTATCCACCAATCCATACATGTGTGTGCATCAGGCACGTGCTTACTTTTCAGTTAATGGTACGGTTTTAGTACGAGAAACGAGAAAAATGAAGGAAAAGGACAAAAAAACATATGATAAAAATCTTATAAAAAGTAATAAAAAAACATATGATGTTATTAAATCAAAAGAAACATGAAACAATAATAAAAAATGTACAAAAAAAAAAAAAAAAAAGACTGGTAGCACGAATGGTCAAGCATACCGTCCCCGTTTATGTTTTTTGCTCAGATAAAAGGTGTTTTTTAAAATGATATCTAAAGGAAAATTTGGTTTTCAAAGACCTTATCGGTGGCGGTATATCATTCCAACAGCGAGTGGCGGCATGCTTGAAGCTTCCTCTAAACGCTGATGTTCTAGACTGTGGCAATGAGAGCGGTTTGGCAAAAGATCTGCTAAGATATTTGTAGTAGGTGTGCTTCCAATTTAGTTTTCTATATAAGTATTCCGGTTTATTCGTCGTGTTTATAACGTCAAATAATAAATTAGCTAAATGTAGTTTTCTCCTTGCTTCCATTTTCAAAATGTTATTTGCGTTCAAATAGGGCGTAATATGACTTTGCCGCGGTATGTTAAAACAGTAGCGGGCACACGCGTTTTGGACTCTTTGAATTAAGCGCTTTGTTCTAGACAGCAAACATGGACCATACACAGTGTCGCAATAAGTAAATTTCGAAAGCACTAAACTTTCTACCAACCGTTTTCTTAATTCAATACTTAAAAATTTTCTAATCCCGTATAAAATTTTTAATTTATAGTAACAATCCTTCATAATATTATTTACGTGACTCTCAAAATGCAGTTCTGGATCAGTAGCAAGGCCTAAATTTCGGACAACTTCCACTCTTTCAATTTCTTTTCCAGTTATTTGTAGTTTTGGATTGGCTAACAAAATTTTTTTTATTTGATTTTTAGTGCCCAGGACCATAAAATTTGATTTTTGTGGGTTAATTATTAAAGAGTTTTGCCGAGCCCATAATGCCACCCTTAGCAGCTCGGCATTAATTGTGTCAACCGCAAGTGATGTATCTCTCGGATTAAAGGATAGATAAAGTTGGGTGTCATCTGCATACATGTGATATTTACAATGGTAAAAGCATCTCGACATATCAGCACTGTATAGAATATACAGCAAGGGTCCTAATAAAGATCCCTGAGGTACTCCTCTCCGAACTGGTGCAGGGGAAGAGAACAAGGTCAATCCATCCTTTGCTTTAAGCTCAACGCGCTGTGACTTTTGATAAGTAGCTTTCGAACCACCGTACTGTTTCACATTCGAATCCGTAGTAAGAAAGCTTTGATAAAAGTAAATTGGTATTTATTGTATCGAATGCCCGCGAGAAATCTAACAATGTTAATATGGTACCTTCACCCCGATCTCTAGCTTCAAGTATATTGTCTATAACCTCTGCTAAAGCTGTTGCAGTCCCACGCCTTTTCCTGAAACCTGATTGTAAGTCAGGAAGGATGTTATTACTTTCAATGTATTCCGTGACCTGAGTACAAACTATCCGTTCTAGTACTTTTGACAGACAGGGTAGTATACTGATAGGGCGAAAGTCTTTACAGCTTTTAGGGTTGTTGTTCTTTTTCAAGGGAATAACATTTGCACATTGCCACAAGGCAGGAAATTTACTTGTGGTAATTGATCTGTTTACAATTGCTGTTATTGTTTCAAGTGATGATGGTAGTGTTAGTCTTATCATTTCTATTGAGATACCATCAATTCCCTGTGCAATTCATCGATTCACTGTATGCAATGAGAAAGTAGCTGGACCGTAACGAGAGAATTCAAAGTAAGTTAATTGTGAAATACTCACTTTGGAGTCCTCAGGAATATCTAAGAATGATGCATTAAATTTATCCGGATCATTAAACTGTGGTGGAAGCTCATCATCTCTATTCATAGGAAGTACATGCATTTTTAAACTTTTCCACAGGTGTTTGGCGTTGGTTAAATTATTATTGATATGATTTTTAAAAAACGCTGCTTTTTCATTATATAGCGCAGAGGTTGCTAAATGTTTTAAATCAATGTAATATTTCTTATGTGCTTCTATTTTTGTTTGGTGGTAACGTTTACGAGCATTATTGCGTAGCTTAAACATAAGTTTAATATTATCCGTAATCCAAGGTGTTTGTTTACATTTAACAATAGTTCTTTTGACAGGCGCGTACAAATCAAATAGCTCAGTTATAAAGTTATTGAGGCAGAGTACCATTTCATTTACATCCTGTAACTCACATAATGCATTCCATGGGATCACTCCGAGGTCTTTTTCAAGACAGTCCCTATGTATGTCTTTCACAGGACGGAATAAGACTACTCTCCTTCCAACCTTTTCCTTTTGAGAAATGATCTCGCATGTCAAGAAGGAATGGCTGCCTAGCTCACTTATATGATCCACATATATGTTACGGTACCGAGCATCAGTGCATATAACATCTATGAGTGTGGCACTATCCCCTACCATGTGTGTTGGTTTAGTTATTATTTGGACCATGTTGTTGTGTTGAATAAATTCTGTTAACTTCTTTGTTTTATCATTGTTTGTGTTTAGCATGTTTACATTAAAATCACCTAATATAATAATGTTATCGTATGGAGCTAGAGCATACATGCTGTCTGTAAGGCCATCCAGGAATATGTCGAGATCAAGCCAAGGTGGGCGGTATGCCGTTCCAATCAGTAATTTCTTTGTTTTATTATTAAGGCTTATCCACATTTGTTCTACCACAGGATGTTGAGGATGGCTTCTTACGCGATAGCTTATTTCCGTTCTTATATAAAACGCAACCCCTCCTCCGCGTCCATGTCGTGTGGTGTCTGGGCGTGGTATATGCCGTAATCTGTATCCTGGAACAGCCGGCGCCCTTCCCTCCTGTCCAATGCGCAACCAAGTCTCGTTTATGGCCATTATATCCACTGAATGGTGACTCATAGCCAAAAGAAACTCATCCTGATTTGTAGCTAAGGAACCAGCGTTCAGAAAGCCTAACTTTAGGTACTTGTTTTGCGCCATTTGCATATTGTCAAACTAGTTTCTATAAATACGTAGAATTGGTGGCAAAAAGAATAGTATAGAACATTATTAGTAAAAAAGACTAATTTACTTATTACTAAAATTATGCCTGTATATTGTTTCATGCTTACAAAAAAACTATAAAGTACAAAATTCAATAATTTAAATAGAATATAGTATACAGGTAATATAAATAACTTAAATATCGCTTTATTACATCTTACCTCATGAGTTTCTCGTTTACAACCGTGACACGCAAAGTTAAAAATCCCAAATATTTGCGGTAGCAGTTTACATACCTTTCTCATATTTATACTAAGTATAGTACTCGCATTATACCTAATCGACCTTTTTAGGTTCTTCACCGAATATTCGATTAATGTCTTTTTCGGAGCGAACCACGCAGACTGGGTCTCCAACTTGCCGACGAGCAAATGTGCGACCTTGTTTCGTCCAAACAAATTTCCAACCGAAACGTTGAGCGGCGATTCGTGTTTGCCGAAATAACATACGGTTTGTTTTAGTAAGGCGCTCATTAACGTAAAATCTAAGTGGTGTACCATTCATCCCGAGATCAGCAGTGGTAGCACCACGGCGCACTCGCGCACCACTCAAAAGCTGGTCACGGAGGTGACGGCGTGTCAAGCGCACGGCGACGTGCCTGGATCGGTTTTCCGTGGGGCCCGTAGCATTTGTCGCATTGATGTGCCTTCCGCCGATACGATGCGCGCTCACAATGTCACGTTCTTCAATGTTTACACCTAATTTTGAGGCAATTAATTGAACCGTGTGGATTAAATTTTCACCATTCGATTCGGGCAAATTTGCGACCTCAATGTCGTTAGATAATAAATCTTGGTCGCGGTCGTTCAGCTCTTGTCTTAAGTTTGCAACGGCTTCGTCCAGATATGACGTGCCCTTAGGTTCTTGCTTACTTAATGTCTCTAAATAGCAAATTCTTGTATCCATATCGTTAAGGCGGACATTACACGATTTAAGAGAATCTTTTAGCTGTGCAATGTCTGAGCGCACGAGCTGCAATTCGCTACACATCGATCTCATCTCTTCACGCGAACTCCTCCTTAAAATTTCGCAATTCTATTACCAAATCCAGTGTCATCTCCTGAGTGCTATCATCTGTAATCTTGTGTACGGGGCTAGTATCCTTGAGGTCACTGGGATGGGACTCTTTGTTTAGTACGGAATCCTTACCCCTTACTGGAGTGTCTGCTCCATTATCTCGTAAAAGATTTTTTTTACACTCAGGGCAGCGCCAACCCGGTGTTAATCGGCTAGTTGCTGATAGCGCTACACATGCTTTATGGAAATGGCAGTTGCATTTAGTACAGGTAGCGGCCTCTGTTGGAGCTAGGAATCTTTGACATCCCCCGCATCGTACCGAAGGCATATTGATTGAAAACAGATCGTCGAATCCACAAAAATAATATGATATTTCAGCAGATGGCGTTGTGTTAAATTTGTGATCTGTGCAGTAGTAAAAAATGAATTAAATATAAAGGTGTCTAAACACCATTGAGTTTAACGCGTAGCGGGAATCGTACATTCACAGGGACTATAAGCTACAACACTAGTTCACTTGAAGAGACCACAACGATTATACTATGAGTTTTTTTTTTTTAAGATTTAAGGTAGGCATGTATCTTCACTGTAGGAACTAACCGACGAGACTTGTTATATTTTGTTATATTCGGACTATTATTGTGCCTCTGCGTAAGAAAACTGTTCTGCATATACACTGCACTGAGCTTAAACTTGTTAACAAAAAACTTTGCACTAAATTCCGATTTATATATATATTTTTTAAATATGTAGTACGCGTAAGCAGTACGTGCCCGACACACACGGTTTTTTTTGAGAAAGAAGTTTTACTTTCAATAAAACATTGATGATTACGATCCTAGAGTATAATGTATAACTTATAAAAGTCACGGGTCCCTTATTAATGCTGGCGTTCTGCTGGCTTGCAGAATTTACTTCAGATTTTTTTATATAAGAGAGTGGCATTCGAGCAGGCACAGAAACACTAATCGTGTTGTGATTTTACAAGCAAAATGGTTTTTGTAACAAAAAACAAAAGAGGTTTAAATATATCACTCATTCTACATATTTAATTTTGAGGAGGTCCCTGGGGTATCTCCGGAGGCTAAATTCCAATACCAATGAAGCTAATAATATGGGGGCTAAGCCGAAGCCAATGCAAAATGATTTTATAAATGAAACTAATTTTACGGATTTATCGCGTTTATTTTTAATTTTAATTCCCGACGTTTCGAACCCTTTACAGCGTTCATGGTCACGGGACAGACTGAGGTGTTAGACGTCTGATTGTCATAGTTAACCCGGGCTACCGTCAGTTTTTGAATTATTAATTTTGTGTCCGATCTATGCAGAGGGAGCTAATTGTATCTTGTCTTGCAGTAGTGGTTCGTTTGGGCCTAGATTTAATTTTATTGATGACAGGATCCCAAGCTGATGGTAGTACCCAACCTTCTTCTCTATTGAAATTAGGGTGTTTTTTAATTTCAATAGCCTCGCGAATCATCCTTGGGAGGAATCGGTGTTCTTTTGCAAGGATCTGTGGTTTGTCAAACCTGATGTAGTGGTTGGGCCTATTCAAAATGTGCTCACAAACTGCAGACTTGTTCAATCTATTGTGTTTTATGTCAAAATTAGTTTCATTTATAATGTGTAATCGCGTAAATAAAAGAAATTATTATGCAAAATGATTTTTTTAAATCGGCTCATAAATGATTTTTTTAAATCGGCTCATAAGTTCTTCTCATGACTAAGTTCTGAGGAAACAAACAAACTAAAAGTACAAGCGAATTGTCAATATCCTTTACGGAAGTCGGTTACCGGAATTGACCACCGATTAAGTTGCTTCTTACTTCCACTTCAGAACAGTCTCGTGCGAAGTCGGAAGTTTCAGAAGGTCAGATGCCCCTTATTATTTTTATACTTAGTAAAGATTATTGCATGATTTATTAAAAAAAAAAAAAAACGGTCAAGCGCGAGTCGAACTTATAAGCCGAGGGTTCCGTACCTACCCATTATACCGCCATAATAAAATGGGTACACAATCACCACCGATTGTCGCAGGAACGGGTAGAAAATTTACCTTAATCTTCAACTTTTTTATTTTTCGGAATTTTTCTTTATTTGTGATTAAACCTTGCTTTTTTTACAAATTTCGCGATTCTAGGTCAATAAAAACCACCAGATAGGTTTTCGAACCAAAACCTATGGGGTACATTCTGTTGACCTAGAATTAATAGCGACCTAATAGGGACTATAGACCTCAGTGTCTAGTATCATTATATCAACTTGCTAGGTCCAACCCTTCCTGAGAAAATCGGTGATGACACACGGACAGATAGAAGATCTAGAGTTTGATGATATAAGGGTTCCTTTTTTACCTTAAAAATCTTAATATTTTCCTAATCACGTTAGACACAACTAAAGTTTTAAATGATTACGAACAATTGTGACACCCTGTATTACAATTATAAAAATATATTTAACTAGCGACCCACCCTGGCTTCTCACGGGTGCAATGTATTATACATAAAAACCTTCCACTTGAATCACTCTATTTAGTAAAAAAATCGCATCAAGATCCGTTGCGTAGTTTTAAAGATCTAAGCATACATAGGGATAGACAGCCAGCGGGACGACTTTGTTTTATATTATGTAGTGAAGAAATTCTTAATTGTTTCATTTACTGACGAAAAGAGAATAAAAAAAAAACGAACAAAAATCTCGATGCAAACCAAGTTTACATTTTAATTAAAACAACTTCGAATGAGCTAGAACTTTCCGGTGTAAACTTATTTTAAATTCTTGTTGAGAGTTAAATCACCGAGAGAAAATTGTTTTTAAACTCGTTTCAAGGTGATTTTTCATTGAAATGGGCTGTTTTATCTCTGAAATGGTTGCTTGCAAATTTTTGAAATTTCTTTATTGGAACAGACTTATGTCTTATGTAAAACTTAGTCTTAGCGTTTAAAATAAACATTATAAATTTATTTATTAAAATAAATATTTATATTATATTCTTATTACAATAACATAATTATGTTAAAGGATTAGATTGGTTTTTATAGAAAAAGTATGTTTTCCATCATTTAGATGTTAAAAGTTGGTAAATGGGCAGGGTCACTTCATGTTATTTGATTACCACCGCCCATGGAAATATACATTATCAGATGGATCGCGGATGCATTGTCAACATTCTAAAAGTGAGCCCCGGCTACCTCACTCACCAGACGAAGCGTGAAAGAATATTACTTCCACTTCACGTCGATCTTCTGTGAGGCCGAGGCACGAATAGGCAGGCTCGTCCGCGTAACCGAACCTTTATTTTTACGTGTGGGCAATGCCTACGCATAGCCACCCTTGCGGGGGCGAGAGCGAGTTATGGCAGACTCTCACCGACTAAAACCCCTACCTTGTTCCACCCAGGCGCATATCGGCAAAGCCACGGGAACGCTTTCGCACACTTCTGCGACCCTGCCAGCCCTGGCCGCCTCAGCAACTCCTTCTTGGGGAGTTATTCCCCTCTCCTCCAGGTTAGGCGCGCTGGAACATTCAGCGCGACTTCCTACTCGGCCCTTTTCTCACGGTGCGTTACCGAGCCTGCCCATTCGTGCAATAGCTGCCGCGTGACTCTACCACAACTAACTTGGGTTATGACACGTATTAATCGATATTCATTCACGAAGATGCTGCGTTACGATGTTCTAAAATAAACTGGCCAAGTTCGAGTTGTACTCGGGCCCGAAGGGTTCCGTACCATTATCTATATAAACGGCAAAATAATCATGTCTTTTTTATAACACACTTAAATATTATTTTATTCTGTTTTTTTTTTTGTATTTGTTGTTATAGCGGCAACAGAAATACATCATCTGTGAAAATTTCAACCGTCTAACTATCACGGTTCATGAGACGCAGCTTGATGGCAGTCGGACAGACAGACAGACCGAGGAGTCTTAGTAATTAATCTTAGTATAGTTTGTTATTTATAATTTTAATTTTTAGTATGTACTGAAAATCGTGAAATCGTACCGAGTACATACCTATTTGGTTTCATATCTTAGATATATATTCTTTTAATTGTTAACATAACTGTGTTTGTCGTTGAAACTAAATAAATATTCATTCATTCATTCACTCATCCACCCATAATAGGATCCCGTTGTACCCTTTGGGTACGGAACCCTAACAATAACCTCTCTTATCGCTACCTTGTCAAAACAGGGTTGTCTCATCAAAGATTATCCTCAAGGAAAAATGCCGAAATAAATCTTAAACCACATATAAAGGTTTGCCCGACTACACTCGGATTAAATCGAAGTTCATTGAACCGTTGAAATCGGGAAACTGTACAGATATCTTGCGAAGCCGCAAGCCAGATGTTGTTGTGAGCTATTTATATCAACGCAGATACATACTACCTTAAAATTAAGGTTAGTATGTATCTAAAGTTGTGTAGTTTAATAACTAAATCCTTGTTTTAACACCATTTAAATATTCGTCATGAGACAAGAAATATCAAACCGGAGCTACAACAGAGAAACTTAAGTTTCTGTAATTTTTTTAAAAGTCATTTTGTTTAAGTATGCTTCTAAATTGTGATACAGAAAATTTAAAACACTCGAATTTTATAGAGTTATATTATTTAATTTAAATTAAATTTTATATCTACATATGTATAAATAATAAATTGTCACGCAGACATGGCTATTGCTGCTCTCGATATATATTTAAAAATTTAATATTTTTGAAAACACTATTGAACTTATAAATCATTCTTTACATTACGCAAAAAAAAAATAAATAAATAAGAAAATGTAAGAAAAAAGGACCTAATGTTTTATTCTTCGTGTTGTCATGTCTTTTATGACGTATAAAATCATATTTCATAGAAAAACAACATAATCCTTGGTGGATTATTCTATTGAGAAATTCATTACTAAGACCAATTTTACAAAGTAATTCAGAGCAGTAATTTGAAACAGCGTTGACGCATT